GTGGGTCTTGAGGAAGGTGGAGTGCGGAAGAACTAACAGGAAGAAAGAGACCGTTTGGAACTGCTCGCGCCAAGCCTGGACAGTAACTGCTCTTTCTCACTCGCAGACACGACCAGCGCTTCTTCGTAAAGACCCAGGCACGTCACGAAGTGCAGGTGCTGCTCACCCAACTGTGCGGCTACATGCAGTATCTGGTGCAGTACCCACACTCGCTGCTGGCTTGGTTGTTGGGTAAGCGGCTTGGGGCTGGTCCTAACTGTCAAAGTGCCTGAGGAGGGCGGGGTCTGGGAACAGGGCGGATCCTGGGGCGGGGCAAAGAGTGGCTGGCTTAGGATGTAAGAAATTTGACTGGGCCTCTGTTTCCGGGTGGGGCAGCACTGATTTGGAAGGGGCAGGGATTCAGAAGGGAGTCTGGGGCGCGGGACTGGAGTGACAGGCCCAGGTATGAGGTGGGTCTTGAGGAAGATGGAGCAGGGAACTGCGGTCACATGGATCCGCGGTTGTGGAGCTGGAGGCCTTCTCCTCTTTCAGGCATTTACAGTCTGAGGGTGGTCAAAAGCCCTGTGTTTTATGACCAAGGCAGGTGAAGCAGAGAAAGACCAAGGCGAGATTCCTAATTAGGGGAGTTAGCATTGAACCTGCACCCTTCCCCTCAGAGACACCTCATGCCTGCTTTGTTTTCTGTGCCTCTTCCCATCAGATCCCGGCCCCTTCCCTGGAGCTTGTAAACAGGGCGGTTGCCTCAGTGGGCCACTTCAACAGCTTGTGGCGTGGAGTTTGAGACAGGAAGAACCGAGTGGGCCTGGTTGAAATCCATAACACACATGATTTTCACAAAGTAACGCAAATGATTCAGGAGGGGCTGTGGGCTGCCTCCCAGGTCTCCATAGACAACCCGCCCAAGGTGAATGGCCAGTCCATCCCACGATACTCAGACTCCAAGAGGGAGGGAGACCCCGCTGGCTATCTGTCTCACTAACACTGTGACTCTAGGGGGTCAAAGAGACCTACCAAAAAGAGGGAGGCAGGAATTGTCAGGAGGCAGAATTTCTGGGCTGGGAAGCTGGAAAGCCTAGGAGGTGTGAGCGACTCCCTGCTTCAGGTGGTGGGTGTGTGCTTCAGGCGGGCCTCTCTATCCCTAGGTCTCAGTACCCCTATCTATATAATGGGTAGAGGGGTTACTACCCCCTGGTTGCTGAGGCCCTGGGCCCTGCCTGCTTGTATGGCTAAGAACGGACCCCCACCTCCACCCTGCCTAACCCAGCCCATCCTCCCTGGAGCCTGTCAGGCTGGAGCCCATGCTGGCTCAACAGAAAGGGTCACCTAACTGCCAGCTCAGCAATCCAGTAGGCTGGTGAGCCTGCATGTTGTCTGTGTGTGCACACGTGTACACAGTCCAACCACCGTATGTGGAAGAAATTCCCTAGACCTGCAAAAACTCTCCTGTGGCTCACTGGGACTGACTTCAGTCTGAAGATACTGTTGGCAGCCCGGCTGGTGGTCCAGTCTCAGCCACACACTTCTTGGCTCCAAACACTTGAACCCTCTCACCCTGCCCCTGGCTACCAGTGCTGAGGACCCTGCTTCTCCAATCCATCTCCCTTCAGATTTCCCCTCAGAGGTCACCTTCCCCAGTGAGCCTTCTCCAGTCTGGCTCTCCCAGGCTACCCCTGGCAGATCACTTGGCTTCAAGGGCCTTTCCTTTTGCTGGGATGAGTGTTCCAGAGTTCAAGTGTAGCAGGCTTGAACTCACAGCCTGGTCCTGGAGACTCAGTGGTGGCCAGATAACACACACCCATGGGGCCCTGCCTCAGGTCACGCCCATCCTTCCTCCAGCCCTGGGTGAACCAGAAGCCCAACTGCCCAACTCTGTCTGACAAGACTCGTCGGGTCCCTGTTTGCTAAAGTAATGGACAAAGCTGCGAGTTGTATTCCCAATCTCTGGGTAGGCAATGGCAGACCCTGCGTTTCTCTGAATCCCTCTATTCACCCCTGCAGGGACCTGCAACTCTGAAAGATTTTGCAGAAATCAGGACCCAGGTTCACAAAGAGGTAAGGAGTCCAGGAAGAACTGTCTGCCTGGGCCCCCTCCTCCTCATCTGTGAGTGGGAGCGATGCTTGTTTCCTGAACCTTGCTGGGTCCTGCCTCTTGCAAACCAGGCGCAGCTTCATAAGCCTGGACCCGCGTGGATGGATTCCCTTAGGGCTGCTTTCTCCCGTACAGGGCTTCCAGCTCGAAATTTTGGCGGGTCCAGCTTTTGCACGCCTAAGGAAACGTGTAGGCCTGAATGAAGAGGACTATCAGGCTGCTCTGGGTCCCGGTAACCCCTACCTCCAATTCATCAGCACGTCGAAAAGCAAAGCCAGCTTTTTCCTTTCGTGAGCTTGCAACAGGGGTTGGGGCTGGGTAGGCGCTGGGTTCCAGGCTGGCGGGACAGCCAGGGGCAGAGAGGGTCAGGGCCAGAGGAAGGCGGGGCCAAGAAGTAAGGGTAAGCCCTACCTT